GTCGCCCCTCCCCCCCCCCCCCCCCCCCGGCCACTCCCAGGCCTCTAGATCAGTGCTTTTCTGTACTGTCATTCCCCTAGGTGGGAGCAAGAGGGGAGCAGCAGTGCACAGAGTGGATTATGGAGGTTCAAGTAAACTGTTTGGTTCAGCTTATGATTGTAAACTCAGTGTCTAAATACTTCAGTTTCTCCTTTTTTAGTTTTAAAAAATTGTTTAAGTTTCTTACTGATCTTTGTTTATATCTTAGTGCTGGCAAATTTGGAGCATGTTTTATACCTGGACTGTGTAAGCAAAGTGACCTGACACTATTTGCTTCAAGGCCTGGGCTCCGTCTCTGGAAGTCTGATGTGCATGGAACCGTTCAGGCCACGTTCATTTTAAAAGATGTATTTGCTGGAGGAATAAAGCCTTTTGAACTGTATCCTCGATTGGTGTCATCTGACAAAAGAAGTTACAGCTTCCCAGAGAAACACCTGGGGATCATTTCTTGCCTTTCCCAGGAAGGATGGGTGCTAAGCTGGAACGAATATAGTATTTATCTATTTGATACTATAAACCAGGTTTGTACATCTAGTTTATGCATATTTTGTTCATTAAGAGTTTGGCATCATATCAGAGTTAACTCTTGTCTGTATCTGCATAGTTATCTGCATTTGCTGTGTTGTAATAACCAAAGAAAAGGTGCTAAACTTTTTTTGAATAAAAGGTTTTAGAATTGGTTATGTTAATTGAGTCATAGACAAGATACATGATAGTATAAACTATTGTAAATATTAGCTATCTAAGGTTTACAGTCTAAAGTTCAGAAATTAATTGCCTAAAGTGAATTCACACCTAGCAAAATATACATGAGTGTTTGTGCTTTATATTTTTAAAAAAGCTTATGGGAGTTGTCAGAGTGTAATATATCAAACTGTTTGTCCCCTCTCTTCATCACTACCTTGCAAAAATTAAGTCTCCAGAAGTATTCCACTTACATTCTATAAAAAGAAAGCCATAAGCAGTTTCTCCAATGTGAAAGATGTATATGAGAGAGAAGACACATGTTTAGTATTGTTGTTATTATTGGGCTATTCCTCTGTTTTTGATACTGAAAATTATATTAGAAATTTGTGATCAGATAGCTTTTTCCTCCCCAAATCACTCGAAGTTCAGTGATTTGATTCAAACCTCTTTGGACTGGAAAGAATGAACCAACAGATGGTAAGAGAGCCAGATCCACAAAATGGGTAAAATTATGATAGTGTCTGATAGTTGTATGTCACGTTTCCATTTTTTCCCCCAATACTTTGAGCTTTTGGAGTCTCCATACATCTCATTGTGAACTCTTGTTTGCTGGTGCTCAGCACAATTGAAAATCAATCACTTATTTAGATGCTTTAAGGACAGGGTTCTATGTTCATATTTATCATCCTTTTTTTAAACTATTGGGAGTCTGTATCACAATTCCTCTTTATATGTTGCTCATTCACTGAGCATTGTATGGGGGACATCTGTTCTTCTGTTTTTCTTTTTTCCATAATCCTTTCCTTTCCTTTCTTTCGAGAGCTGTCTCCTCCTTTTTCTGATTGTATAGCTATAGACTTACCTAAAGCATTTTAATTAATGCTCTTTACATTTTTTTCCCCAACAGGCTGTGATAGGTGGCTTGGAAGGCTCTGGTGATATTGTGTCTGTGTCCTGTACCGAAAATGAGATTTTTCTCTTAAAGGGAGATAGAGACATAATAAGAATTTCAAACAGACCTGAAGGACTTGTATCAATAGGTGTGTATAGATTTGCCTACTTAAAATTGTACCTTTTTTTAAAAAAAAAAAAGGTGCATTGAAGGTGTTCCTATACTGTTCGTTTAAAGAAACTCCCTCTAGCAATTTCTGTAGCATTGTTTTCCTGTTTCTTAAGGTTATAAAAGGCCTAGATTCTCCACCGAGCCAAGTATTTGCTTTTTGTAGCTGGAATAGATTATAGTTCTTTGCTTCTTTGCTTATATCCAGGTTGTGATTGCTGCAGCTGCACATTCTAACTATGCATCATCCCTTCCTTAGGTAATGTTTCAATGACAGTTGGCTAATTTCTTCTTGTAGGCATGTTGAATAATGATAGTTCCATGCTTTGTGCTCATAAAAGTGGTCATAAGAATGGGAAGGGATCATAAGTCCTGGATGAAATTAAGTGTCAGTCAAAGGTCTTACAGAGTTAAAACAAACTTGTTCATCTTACTGGTGCTATTTCTGTAATGGAAAAAGGCAGTATGAAAAAACATGGATAAAAATAGAAAGGAATATGCACTTGAATAACTTTAAAATATCAAATGAGTTTACAAACAGAGGGTATGTCTACACTTCAAATGAAGACATTTGAAATTGCAAATGAAGCCGGGATTTAAGCCCTTCTCCCGAAATAACTGGTAAACCTCATTGTATGAGGAATAACGGTTATTTCGAGAGAAGGGTTTTCTCTCGAAATAACCACGTCTTAACAGCGTCTGTTATTTCGAAATAGCACCATAACGCGAATATGCAAATGAAGTGTGGGATATTTAAATCCCGGCTTCATTTGCAATTTCAAATGTCTTCATTTGCATCCCTCTCTCGAAAGAGGGTGCAAGTGTAGACATACCCTGATACAAATATGCTCTCATGCATTACTTGTAGTTATATCATTTGGGATGCTTAATGCCATTTATATCTGTAGGATTTTTAATATTTGCTACAATAAAAACAAACGATTACTAAGTAAAACATACAACAGTCTCTGCAAATTCTAGAGTCTCATTCTCTTTTATGTTAATGCATAAATGTGCAAGAATAGCTTTGTTATTCAAGCAATGATTCACCCACAGGCTTCTTGTGACTTATTTAAATGTTCTGGATACAGTAGTAATCAGTATTCCTTCTAATTTTTCTCACCCCAGAGCAGAATGAATTTTGACACATCACTTTCATATTGGAGCACGTAACAAAATTCATGTGGTGGGGGGTGGAGCCAGGTGGTTCTGAGTGTGGGAAGGGACTCAGGCCTAGGACAGAGGTTTGGAGTGCAGGAGTGTGAGGGCTCAGTCTTGGGGGTGTGTGGTCTGAGGTGGGGCTGGAGATGAGACGCTCAGGTCTGGGACAGAGGGTTGAGGTGCAAAGACTATGTCTGGGGTGGAGCTGGGGATGAGGGGCTTAAAGCTGGGTAAGACAAAGGGTTAGGGTGCAAGGGCTTTGTCTGGAGGGGGGTGCAGGCTCTAAGATGGGAGAGAGATGGGGTGCAGGAGTGTGAGGAGGAAGGCTTGGGGGCCAGGTCATGGCAGAGGGACTCTAGGCCAGGGGGTCTCCAGAGCCAAGCCATTCCAGCCACAGTGGGAGAGGTTAGGAGTTTATGTGTCTGGGTCACAACATGGGAAGAGGTACCTGGTTCCGACCAGCTCTTCCTCTGGCCGCCAAGCTAGTGGCTAGGTTGAGGATGTGGTGGATGCCTTGAGCGCTTGCGTAGCACTAACTAGACAGCCACGCAGTTTACAGGGAATTTAGGTAGTAGTGTAAAAAAAAAAAAATCATGAAAATTAAATTCTTAAAATTTTCTTGCTTGTAAAACTAGAGGTGTTGACATATATGCAGCCTCTAATTCTTTGTGCTGTTGGAAAGAAATCTTCTTGGAACGTGTGTTTATTTTTTACTACAATAGTTTAACTGGGGGATTAAAGTGAGGGGCCTCGTCTTGCAAGATGCTAAATGCCTCAGTTGGAGACAATGGGAATTGAGGGTGTAGGAATCTCTCTCAGCAGTGCACAGAGGCCCTTAATCCTGAAGGACTAGGTCTCTTTAATGTGCAGGCATAACTCTGGCCTACATTAATGGAAGCTTTGTGCATACATTGGAGCATGAATTGAGCTATAGCTAAAATAACATTGTTTCAGTATAAATCAGTTCTTCTTTAAGTGATTGTTCATGCCCATTCCATTTAGGCATGCATGCAACCTGTCGGAAGGCTTTTTCCCTCAGTTGGCTGCCTGCCAACTCGATAGGTACCACTGGAGTGGCACCCCCATTGCAGCACATATATATCCCTGCTGGCTCTCCACTCCCTCAGTTTCTTCTTACTGCCCATGACAGTGGTTGGACTGCTCTCCTCCTGGGCTCCCTTAGTGGTTCTTCTGTAAATCGTTATATCTATATAGTTATAGTAATAGTTCTGGTGTATAGTAATAGTTCTGGTTTTCCACTCATGCCCAAAGTGTCTGATAGAGGGTCACCAGTAGGTATAAAATCTGCCAGGGATTCAAGCCATGCACCAAAAAGGAAAGGGATATGTGGCTCAAACTTCACTTGATGGGAGGCAGCTCTTCAGCCGCAGTCAGCCTCTGAGTCAGCAGCTGCTTCAGTGCGGCAACTTTTGGCACCGAGAAGACCATCCCCGGTGTCGAGACCAAACAAGTCTGCATGGCACTGCTTACAGTCCCTGGTGCCCAACAAGAGAAGGCCTGAGAGGGCCCTATCTCCTTCCAGGGGCCTGGCCTGGTTGGCATCCCCAGGATGGGCACTCTAAGGGCGTGTCTACACAGCAGGGCTTAACTCAAAATAAGCTATGCAAATTGAGCTACATTAATTGCATAGCTTATTTCGAAATAATTGGGAGTGTCTACGCAGCACTTATTTCAAAATAGAGCACTCTTCCTCCAACTTCCTTTACTCCTTGTAGAATGAGGGTTACAGCAGTTGGAGTAAAAAGTCCTCCAGCTTGACAGTATTTTGACATTATTTCAAAATAACTACCTGTTGTGTAGATGCAGTCTAAATTATTTCAAAATAATGCTACCGGTAGTTTATTTTGAAATAATGTTGCTTTGTAGATGTACCCCCAATCAGCTCATTTGCTGGCACCGGTGGTCACTCCTGCAGCCTTGAGGCCACAGGTGAGTCCACTGCAAATTGACTCCTCTGAGACAGATGAGTCAGTTAGAGATGGCTTTGACCAGTCTTCTACCCCAGAAACTTTTGAGGCGGCCAGGGACCTCATTGAGATGCCGAGATCCCTGAAGACGGCATGGAAGTCGGGACACTGAGGAGATTCTCTTGTGCCTCTGCTTCCTCAGTACTAACCAACCCTGCTGCATTGAGACCCCAGTTCTGGCTACCACCACCCATCTTTGCACTGACCCCATTGGTGCCTCCAGTACTGCCACTGTCAATGACTCAGATGCCATCCATGCCGATGGTTCAGCACTGGGACAAATCAACACTGAAGTTGCAGCAGCAATCACCAACACTCACCTCTTTGGCACCACCTTGCTCAGCCTCTGAATATTCCTCAAAGTTGGAGGCAGAATTGTCACCTCTTGCACAATGGGGCACCTGTTGCGCTCCAAACAGTGATCCTGGCATTGTTTCTGGCACCTGAGCACATCTCCTCAGCCTCCGCAAGCCATCTGGCTACCTCAATGGCAGCCCCCCAGTGTAGTGGTCCTTCTGAATTTTTGGACATATCAGGCAAAGGGGCCACCAACACTCAGAGCAGTGTTGTTCTACTCAGCTGCACATGGTGCCCCATCTGCCATGCCTCTTCCAGGACCGCCTAGGTCAGATTCCAAGCATAGCTTCCAAAAGGACACCCCCAGGCCTTCCCTTGAGGTGAGACTTCTGCAAATTCACAAGCCTCAGCCTTCTCAGGAGGATATGGGGTGTATACAGGACAATGAGGAGCATGCTCCTCTTAGGGAATTTTCCTCGTCCTCCCCAGATGAGGCAGTGGTGGGCACATTACCCTTTTTACCCGCCATGGACACAAGGGCCCCATCAAGAGCTCCTGAAAAAGATAGAGCATCTAAAGTGGCTCCCTCACTCATCAAGACAGTGTCAAATACCACTAAGGTGCTATGGAAGACCCCAGCATCTATCTATTCCCCCAACTGCAAAAGGGATAGAGCACTGGTACTTCGTCTGTCAAAGAAACCATGAGCACCTGTTTATGCATCCTCCCCCAGGTACTCTAGTGATGTAAGCCACTAACCACAGGGAGAGTCGGGGCACACGGGACCAGCCCCAAAAGCCAAGGATCCCACGAGGCTAGATCTACTAGGCTGCAAGGTATATGCTACTGGCGATCTTCAGCTCCGCATTGTGAATCGGCAAACAATGTTCAGTAGGTATGCCTATAACTCTTGGGAGGCCTTGGGTAAATTTTAAGGAACTCTTTTTGTCTCCTCTGATGCCAGCCAGGCAAGAGTTCAGGGTGATGGACAAGGGAGAGGTTGTTTCTTGCACAGCCCTGCAGGACTCGGACAATTCTGCTGGGCGTACTATGGCTACTAGCGTAATCGTGTACAAATTCGTGGCTTCAGGTATCGGCTATCCTGACTGAAATCTAAAATAAGATTCAGGGCCTGCTGCATGGTGGTCATGATTTCTCCTGAGGTCATGCACTCCCTGACCCGGTAGCTGCAGGAGGGAGTAGTGTGCAATGGAATACCATTTGCCAGATTGTACCCTTCGAATCAGGTGGTGATGGCCACTTCTTAAATGTCCTGGGGAGCAAACATCAGAGACTGAGGTTTCAAGATATGTGGTCTCAGGGGAATTATCGCTGCACATAAACATCAGGGAGCTAAAGGTGATATTATGTCTTACATGTCAGATGTTCCTAACCCACTTATGAGGCAAGTGCATTTCAATCTTGATGGATAACACAGCAGCAATGTTTTATATAAACAGAGTGATGCTCATTCTGTGCCCCTGTCAGGAAGCCCTCTGTCTGTTGGAGCTTTGTATCCAACATTCCATCCAGTTGGAGGCCATGTACCTTCCAGGAATTCAGAACATGTTGGCAGACTGGCTCAGACAAGTCTTGTACATGCACGAGTGGTCCCTTGGGGCAGATGTAGCCCTATTCATTTTCCACAAGTGGGGGTATCTCCACCTAGATTTATTTGCAACAAAGAGTTATAGAAAATGCCAGCAATTTTCTCTTATCTGAACCACAGTCCAGGTTCTCTAGAGAATGCCTTTCAGGTACCCTGGATGTCCCACCTGATGTACACCTTTCCTTCCTTCCTCTCATACACAGAGTTCTCCTCATGGTGCAGCAATACAGAACTTCTCTGATCTTGGCAGCATCAGCCAGATGCTGCCAGCATTGGTTCACCACTCTCATGAAACTCTCAGTGGCAGATCCTATAGCTCTTCCCATGTTCCCAGACTTAATTACCCAGGATCATGGTCTTTGTCATCCTGACCTGCAATTTCTCCATCTAATGGCCTGGAAGCTCCATGGTTAACAAAGGTGGAGCAGCAGTGTTTGGAGTCAGTGCAGGAGATGGTGTTGGGCAGTAGAGAATTCTCTACTAGGGCCACTTACATGGCCAAGTGGAAATAGTTTTTGATTTGGTGTCTCCAGAAGGGTATAGCCCCAATGGCGGCTCTGGTCATATTAGACTACTTATTGGCTTTCAGGTAACAGGGTTTATTTATCAGGCCCTGCCGGTCTCCATCCCCTCTTGCCTACCACGCTGGACAGCCCAGCTCACAGTGCACTGCCCTGTGGGGGTATTCCAGGCTCCACCGAGGCTCCTGGCTCCACTGGGCAGCCCCACCAAGCAGCTCTGCTGCAGCGTGTTGGGCTCCCAGCCCCATCGGGAAGCTTAGCTGGGATGTGCTGGGGAGCCCTGCTAAGCAGCCCCGCTGTGGCGCATCAGGCTGTGTCTAGACTACATGCCTCTGTCGGCAGAGGCATGTAGATTAGACACATAGGCAAAGGCAAATGAAGCCGCGATTTAAATGATCGCGGCTTCATTTACATTTACATGGCTGCCGCGCTGAGCCGACAAACAGCTGATCAGCTGTTTGTCGGCTCAGCGCGGCAGCCATGTAAATGTAAATGAAGCCGCGATCATTTAAATCGCGGCTTCATTTGCCTTTGCCTATGTGTCTAATCTACATGCCTCTGCCGACAGAGGCATGTAGTCTAGACACAGCTCCTCTGTCCGAGTCCACCTGGCAGCTATTTCTGCTTTTTACACAGGTACTCAAGGCAAGTCAGTTTTTGCCTACCCAACAGTATGTTGCTTTCTGAAGGTCCTAGATAGGTTGTACCCACAGGTACGGCAACCTCTTCCTTCCTGGGACCTGTATCTTCATGGATTATGGCCTACATTAGGACTATTATGACTTTGCTAAAGTGCCACCACAAGCACTCATTGCCTACTCCACTGGGGCACAGGTCTTTATGGTGGCCTTTGTGGCTCAGATACCCATCCTGGATTTACTCAGGGTGGCTACCTGGTCTTCCATACAACCTTCACCAACCACTATGCCATTTCCCAGCAGGCTTGGGATGACAAAGCTTTCAGTAGAACTGTGTTGCAGTCCATTTCCAGTTAGTCTCCGACCCCACCTCCTCTAGCACAGCTTGCAGTCCACCTAAATGGAATGGACATGAGCAATTACTTGAAGAAAAAACCATTAGCTACTTTTCATAACTGTTGTTCTTTGAGATGTGTTGCTCATGTCTATTCCACCTCCCTTTTGTCAGAGTTCCAGCATGAAGGAACTGAGGGAATGGAGGGCCAGCAGGGCCTATGGCTGCCATGGAGACGCCACTACATAGGGCTCCCTGCCAGCCTGATGGGTACTGCTGAGGGGAAAAAACCTTCTGACAATCGTATATATGGTGCATGCACACCTAAATGGAAGGGACATGAGCAACTCATGTTGAAGAATAACTATTGCGAAAGGTAGGTAACTCTTTTTACATAAGATAGCTGGACAGCATTGATATAAATGTTGCTGCCTTAGACAGAATACCTTCTGGGAAATAGGAATAAAACCTTACTTTTCTTACAATGCTCTGCAAGAGCTATACTTCTGATTAGGTAATGTCTTGGTGTTTAAAAGCTTCAGAGGGGTAGCCGTGTTAGTTTGTAACAGGAAAAACTTAAAAAACAACGAATAGTCTAGTAGCACCTTAAAGACTAACAAAACATGTAGATGGCGGTATGAGCTTTCATGGGCTGTTACTCTTTTTGTTATCCGTTTCAGATGCAAATTCAAAATTGTCGAGTCCATTCCCAGACTTGAGTCCCAACTTGCAGAGCCCAATATCTGTAGTTGTATCTGTATTTCCTGGTCCTTCAGTGGAAATGCAACAAAAAATAAAAATGGTTCCTTTCCTGAGAATTATTGGTGACAAAAATGACTCTTCTTCTTTAGTGAAAGATGATTTGGAAACATCACTGGTATTGGAGAAAAGTCTTGATAAAGTGGGGGACTTGCGCAGTGAAACAAGAAAAAGAGCCTGTTCAGTAGCCAGTGAACCAAGAAGCAGGAGCAGTTCAGTAAATTCTGTGGATAGTGGCTCTAGTCTCCTGACAAGTGGAGACCAACCATTGTCTGAAGTGAGGAGGTCCAGCATAAGCAGCTGTGAAGACTTTGATCAGGAACTCATTATAAAGCCCATCAAAGTGAAAAAGAAGAAAAAGAAAAGACCAGGTAAAAATAAGCATTCTCTAACTGCCACTTTTTAGAATGAGTCTCTCTCTTGGTATCTATTTCACTAAAAATGTAAGTTTTGTGTGGTTTTAAAGACAAGCCTCATGTTTATGATGGTGTGTCTTTCCGTAACCATTACTTGTCACCTAACAGTAATTGATCTGTAGTCTTGCCCTTTCATTTGAGGATGAAAGCCCATTATGAAAGTAATGAACTTGTGTCTCTACAACAGGGTATCATTTTTCTCTCTGCAGACCTACTTGCTCTTTATTTTTATTCTGCTTTTAAATTTTGGCTTTTTCTTATTTGTAACATCATGCAAGACAGAACAAAATCATGAATATAAAAAAGGTTAATGCTAATAGCTTCACTTCTGTTTTACATTGTTTAATCTTTTCTTTTAAGAGTAACCAATATTTGACTGTTTTTACATTCATACTTTTAGCATCCATAAGCAACACTTCTTTGCCAGAGAAACATTTTTAATGTACTTTAGATTATAATTAGAGATGTAAAAATTCCACTTAATTGGCTAACTGGTTAAATGTGAAGTTTAACTAGTTAACCAATTGGGGGGGGGGGTACTCCCACCCAGCTGGGCTGGAGTGCTCCCTCACCCCCAGCAGAGTGGGAGCATCCCCCCCATCGCAGGCAGGGGATGCTCCAACCCAGCCAGGGAAACCCCCCCTGCCTGCAGCCCTCCACTCCTCCCTAGTCCCACTCTGGACTGGGGCTATTTCAGATACCTGGGGCAGCCCTTTGCTTGCAATGCACCTGGGGCTTCCATGGACAGAGCCCCGCAGGGTTGGAACGGCCCCTTGCTCACTGCAGGTGGGGAGCTGCTCCAGTCTCCATCAGTTAACCGGAGCCAGTAAGCATTACACTTAATAGGGTTAACCTTTCACATCCCCAATTATAAAGGCAACTCTATTTCCTATAATAAATTGGTATTGCAGTTTTTGAATTCTTGCCTTGTGAGATTACATTGACATTCTTTTAAAACCTTTATCAAGTTGTTGATATATGAGTACAATGTTCCTGCATTCTCACTGTCATTATGTCATCAAAGTGACAGAATTCTTAGTGTATGTCAAAATTTGGACTAATTCCAGTTTCTAAAGTACAAGTTTCCCATTTGCTCATAGTAGAAATATTTGCAATCTTTTATTTTAATTGAACTTGGAAAGGTTTTATTAATAAGAATATTTCTTTTCTTCTCTGAGATCAGAAAATATGACCAGGAAAAGCCACAGCTGTTTGGAAGGTACACCAAGTTATGAGCGTCAGTTTTCTGGTGACAGTGTACATTCTTTAAATGCAGATTCGTTGTCTGTGACTTCTAGCCTAATGAGCTATAGTATAGATTGCTTGAGCACAGGCTCTCCAGATCAAGAAAGTCAGTACAGTGTGGAGTCACATGCTGTCTTGCAGGAAGATAATGGCTCAGATTCATTCAGTGTGCTTCAGTCCCCCGAATCTGTTGCTGTGTTAATGCATGAACAAAACGGAGGAACAACTGAATTACTAAAACTTCCTAACAGAGATAGTGGAATGAATACACTAGTTGTTACAGCTACTCTGACAGCCAACCCTCTCTTAATCCTCAATGAAGACTTGGGGGATAATGATAATACAGAATGTAATCCAAGCCTGCTTTCTGAAAATACTGAATGCCATTATACATTTTCACCCCAAGAGGAACAAGAGAATTTTCCTGAGTTATGCAAAGTAGATGAAACTTTTGCTAGAATAAATCTGAAAGATACTGAAAATGCTTTTGAAGAAACTAAGATCACAGACACAGTGTCTTTAGGGTTTAATTCCACATGTGGTACTGAAAAGTCACTGAAACAGGACATAAGTGATGTAACTCATGAGGAAGAGCAGCAGCCACGTTTTTTAATAAATACTGCCCCAGAAAACCCTACCAATCCCCAGTCTGACCTCTCAAGGGAAGATGTATGCTCACAAGAGGCTGCAGTTTCTGGATGGAACTTGGAGGATGCAATCAAAGCTACATGTAGTACTGGTGCAGCTGAATGGGTAACCAACGCACATGATACCATGACAGAGAAATCTGTGTCCAGTGATGAAGAGGATATTTATGGGCATGGACTACCATATTCATCTTCGGAGACTAGTGTGACAGAAATTGGGGGAAGTTTTACTTCCCAGGATATAACCAGAACTAACCTAGATGAAATAATGCTCTTAAAATCAGATCAGGTATGTGTTTTATTTATAGCAAAAATATTTAAGCTTACCATTATTCTAGTAGAAGTGATTGCGAATGTTTTTCTTCATTCCTTATAGAAGTTTTTTTTTCTCATTGATTCAGCAACAAGTTAAAAAAAAATGAGGAAACTATACATATCCAATGCACAATGCAAATTATTGTTGCAGACATCAGAATAATATATCGAAGGCTATTTTTAGTGTAATGAGGGAAGGGTGCCTGTTAACACCTGTTCACAAGGAATTGTTTGTCCTATATATGAAAATGCTGGTGTGAACCCAGTAAAAAGCAATACAATACCAAAATGTGCTCTAAGGTAGTACCAACATTTGAGTTTGAGGCCCCAGTCCTGCAAGATGTTGGATACTTTTCTCATTAATTTCAGCGGGAATCGAAGCTGCTGAGAATCTTATAGGTTTGAGGGTTTAGTGCATTTCTGTTTAATCTTTGCCTATTTAAATTGTAAGCTGACAAGCCAGGGACTGGTATGTCTTTTTCATGTTTTTATAGCAGTTAGTGAAGTGGTGCTGAAAGAGACAATATCAATTACAACTCCTTATTGGGTTTTCATATTTTAAATAGTGAGTTTTTTCCTTCCTCTATTTTTTTTCTCTCCTTCATTGTTGCTGTGTGGAAGAAAGAGTAACCAATGTAACTAATGGATAGTACAGTTGAAAGAGTGAAACTTACTATCAAAGCCCCAATTCTGAACCAGCGATGTTTATGGCAGTTTTAATGCCAAATTTATTTGTAGCAGGGTCAGGTTCAAAGTGTGATTAAATACATAATGTAAGCAAACTGAAAAAGATAAGTCTTGTCTCCTCAGCTGCAGTGACCTTTTGATGTAACTTGTATCAACAAGAGGTAAAATGCTTTCAGATGAAGGATAATTTTTAAGTTGATGTCCCAAATAACTCTGAAGACTAAATAAAAATGTAGCTGTGTTGATTTCCCTTAAGTGATATACTTCATAAAAATTGAAAGAAGGCTGTGAATTTCAGAATCTGGAGGGGAAAACCTCATCATCTGCAATGTTTTGAAATGCACCTCAGTATTTTAGCTAATTTACAGCCTATCAAGCTAGTTGTTATATAGGATTCAAGGTCAGTAATACAGTCTGTAAAATCCATAATATTCCATTAACATGTCTTGAGTTGAGTTTTGTTTTATTTTTTTTGTATATTGGAGAGACTCCAGGGTCAGAACAGGCAATTTATCCTCTTCCTCTTCACTCACAAGTGTGTATTCCAAAAGAGCTCTTCCCCCTGTGTTAAATAATCATTAAAACATTAATGAGGGTTAGGAAGCTTTTGCATACTCTATTTTGATGTTGCCGTTTACATACGTAGTATATCTTTGTCAATTAACTACTCTATTTTGATGTTGCCGTTTACATACATAGTATATCTTTGTCTGTCAATTAACAGAGTAATATTGGCAGATTTTTGGACTGCCTTGTAACGTCCACGATCGTGTGGAGTTTTGTTTTATTTATTTTTGGTGAGACTTGCAATCCCAGCGATCATGTATTTATTCCTGAATACAGGTTGCAACATGTAGCACACAGTATTTGATCAGCTGGCCTGTGATAAGGTGGTTTTACCAAAGACACTTTTTCTTTTGATATAATTTCATGTTTACATTCTGATTCTTAAAAAATATTTCTGCTGTTTTATGTATGTATGCTGTATGTATGACTTTTCTTGTGCATCTGAAGATACCTGACATTGTTCTGACTCTCCAGTTTTTAGTTTGCAGAAAGCTGGATGGGATATTCTGGCCCTGGCTATGGAATACTCAGCCTGGTTGTCTCAGAAAAGTATATTTGGTGCCTGGACTACAAAGGTAGTCTATATTGTAGTGCTTTACCTAGTGCAGGTCTGCGGTGGCAAAAGTTTGAAGATGCAGTCCAGCAGGTGGCAGTCTCACCTTCAGGTTAGTTAAACAGTATTTCACTTTATCCTTCTTCAAAACACACAAATTTGTGCAAATGAAGCTTTTTCATGTAACTGTGTAAACTATATGTGGCATGCATTCCCTTTCATTTCAGTAGTTTGTGTATCAGTGTTTACATTAGTCAGTGAAGATTGCTCTACTGTCTGTATTCTAACTTGTTTTACAAAACACATCTGAGCCCAGTTCCCTAATTCATTTGCACAAGCTATCTTTTGAAATAAGTTGTTAAAAGGCTGTCTTGGCTCATGTGATTACATTCCTGCAATATTAAATTACAGGTTGAACCTCTCTAATCTGGCATCCTCAGGACTGGTTTGCGGTCCTGAACCAGAGAATTTGGCAATCCATGGGAGGTCAATATTATTTAGCAGAATTACCAACACTTCCACTACTTACTGGACTGTTAGAAGACATGGACAGATAAATTAGAGCTAAATAACAGCACAGAACATTGAGATCCAGGATTGGTAACTGTAAACAAACTTTATGGTTCTGCAGGAAACTTGGCCGCCCCTATGATAAGTGGACATCTGGCTAACTAAAATCATGCCGGACCACAGATGTTTCCAGATTAGAGTGGTTCAACCTGAACTGTTTTCTAGCATAAATGGTTGTTCTCAAAATAGCAGGATATGAATTTGTTTGAGGAGTTTTAAATATTGCTGACACATCATTATTGAATCTTTTTATTTGAGACATCTCATTTTATAATTAACTTATATTCTTTCACAATTGAAACTAAAATACGTGTAGACAGCAGCATTAATTTCTTGCGCAAGAAAGCCCGATGGCTAAAATGGCCATTGGAGCTTTCTTGCACAAGAGAGCGTGTACACTGGCACGGATGCTTTTGCGCAAAAGCACATCTCTTGCGCAAAAGCACATGATAGTATAGACGCTCTCTTGTGCAAATACTTTAATGCAAAAACTCTTGCGTTAAAAGTATTTGCACAAAATCTTGCCAGTGTAGACGTAGCCAAATTGTTACATTTTGACTGACTTTTTAAAATTTATTTTTGGTGGCTTGGGAAATGAAAGTTGTAAGAGGTAAAACTGGTTTTGAATGTGGACTTGTACTCTATTCATCTTTCCAGTTTGCTCCAGTGCCAGTGTGATTGTAAGACAGTTTCTCAGTCATTTTCTCATTCTAATCTCCTACCATCACATGATTTCTCTTCCTGTCTCTTGCCACTTAAAGCAGCTAATAACCTTACTGTCCTCTTTGAAGGGTAGGAAGAGGTCCTTCCTCAGGTGGTGGTGGTGGTGGTTGTTACATTTGGTCAGTGACTGAATGTGGATAGGGATATGTTAACATTTTATAAGAGTATGAAAACAGACCAAAGTGGAAAAAACAGGATCAAATAATGCAATTCTGGTCTTTCCTGTTCTGTGTAAAGGCTATTAATGTATCAGTATGCTGCACTGAAATTAGCCATGGAATTAATTATGCATGACTCTGCATATGCGCACACAACTGTAGAAGGTTGCAGATGTATTGCAGAAGCTAGCTTTGGGGACATCTGTAAATTTGGCCTTTTAATATTTAATTTCGCACTGGATACTGTGTTTGATGTTTTGAAAATAGTCATGACTATAGTGAATGATTTTTAAACATTTTCAGTAAGATCTAATCTGTGGCAGTATATATGATTATAACTCTCTCTAAAGATGGTAACTATTGACTCCCTTTTAAACATTTTAAAAATGTAATGTTATGTAAGATTAATGAAGAGTTGCTAAATATTGGTCTTGTTAACTTGGCTGGTGTTAATCTTTGTTACACATTTTGTATGTACAGTAGACCAGCTGTCTCTAAAGTTGCAATCAATATTTGGTATTACCCACTATTCGTTTATATACAGGGGCTCTTCTTTGGAAGGTTGAACAGAAAACTAACAAAGCATTTGCCTGTGGAAAAGTAACCATAAAAGGAAAGCGCCACTGGTATGAGGCTTTACCTCAGACCGTTTTTGTAGCTTTAAGTGATGATACTGCATGGATTATCAGAACTAATGGAGATCTGTATCTGCAAACAGGTACTTAAATTGTTGCCCTTATAGTTTTTGTAAATGAGAATTAGAAGTGCATAAATCTGTCAGATTATTATGATTGGTTTAAACCATGCTCCAAATCCAGAATAAAACTGGGCTGCTTACTCATAGGAGAGAAATCTTTTATCTTGGTAATCAATTATGATCTAGGGAAGTAGTATTGTTTGTATTACCATAATGGCTGGGTGCCCAAATTGTGAGCCAGCACTCCATTGTGGTAAATGCTGTACAAATACAGAACAAAAAAACTGGTTCCAGTTCTCAGTATTTTATAATCTTCTTCTTATAATTCTTATAAGGTCATAACAGGCAGTCAGGAGTACAAAGCAACAATGCAACACTGGGCTGATCAGCATTATAGGCCGGGGTTTAGCATCCTAACCATTTTCAAACTTTTTATAGGCATCAAAGCAAAACAGGGTTTTAAGCAGGGATTGTTATACACCGAACTCCCAGGATGATACAGTCTCTTTTGTTCTTCTATTCTCTTAAACTGACGTTCAAATCTGACAGCTTCCTCTTTGGCTAGTCCGACTCTGCCATTCTCTCTGCATGTTCTGCCTCTCTCTTTGCAAGTTCTCATTCCAGCATCTGCCTTTTCTCATCAGCTTCTTGGTCTAGCTTCCGTCTTCTCTGTTCTGCTAGCAGACGAAATTCCTCCAGTTTTCGCTTATATTTAAGTTGCGTTCTCCTCACTGGATCCTGCACTCATTTCTTCTGCAGCATTTCTGGCCACTAACAAAGATCTCAGCACTGGCTTAGAAGCTTCCTCACTAAAGGCAATACCTCTTTCCAAGCACAAGGCATCCAGAGCCTCTGTCCAGACTTTCATACTGTTGCTGACTCATTGCAGCGGCTCGTTAACTAACCAAACTTTCAACACCCAAAAATCAAATTTAGATAGCGTGGGGTCCTGATCCAAAGCTCAACTGATCAAGGTCTGTGGATCCTTCCAACTACACCACTGTGATGGACTGGGCACAGCTGAGGGTGTCTGCTCAGGGCGAATTATTCAAAACTTGGGGCTCCTTACAGCCCCAGACTGGAGACCTTCCAGACAGGTCACAAAATAGTCACACCAAGGGCTTCAGCTGCCAATCTGGCTGGCCTAAAGCCTCCCGAGCAAAACCCCTCTGACACACCAGCTCTTCCTGTGCCCCAATCAGCCCCGGGCCTGCACACAGGTTGAGAGACCTAACTGTGTTTCACATGCTGGTAGTCATTATGCCCTAGCTGGTTTGCAGGTATCAGTCACATTCCTCAGGTGTGTATTGGCACCTAGAGATTCATTGTCTGCTTGCTAACTAGCATAGCCACTGGCTGAACATTCTTTACCCATTGCTTTGTCTCAGACAGAGAATTTTCCAGTATCAACACAGAGTACATGTTAATAACGCCACATACAGATATTATACAAGTACATGAATAGCATATACAGAATTAGTAGAACATAAGCTTTCATTCAACATCTCACATGACCCTCTTTGTACAGACGTTTGGGGCAACCCCCCCCCCCCCCATGGGTGCAACAGTGATCTTTAGAATCCAGTAACATGACGTCCTCTCAGTTGGAAATGAGAGAGAATAGGTGAGATGGGGCCAGGTTGTCAGGGTCTTTGAAATTGAAGATCAGGAGTAGTTTTATCTGATAGAAAAAGGGGAATCGATAGAGCAGGGGTGGGCAATAATTTTGGGCGGAAGGACCGTAATCAAGAAACTTCACATGCTCCTCTGCCCACAGACTCTGATTAGCCTGGGGGTGTGGGAGTATGTGAAGTCTTTGCCCCCCCACCTCTGCCTCACCAGAGGCGAGTGACACCTAGGGAGAACCTCTAGCTGTTTGGAATAGCTGGTGGTTTGCTCTAGGTGCCATGCGCCCCTAGCATGGGGAAGGAGACTTTGTGTGCTTCCCCATCCCCAGGTCTTGATTTGTCCTGGGGACGGGGAATGGTGGGGCAGCTGCAGACCAGTACACCTGTGGTAGAGGTATGCAAAGAGAAGGGTGAAATAGTCAAAATGATGACCTAGGAAAATTCTTTGCAGCATTTTGAATGGATATGAATGGGGCAAGACTGCCTTGTCAAGCCAAAGAAAAGGATATTTTTCAAAATCAAGATGTGATGATGAGACTTTAGACCAGGGCTAGGCAAAATATGATCTGCGGACCAGATTTGGCCTGTGAGAATGTAAGCCAGCTCCCTGCCTGCACCACCCCCACCTGGCACTCAGGAAAGCTGGCTGCAGGGCTGGCCTGTTTGCAGGACAGGCAGCAAGTGAAGTGCTCCTCCCCCTGTGAACAGTACAGGGTTGTGGAAAGCAATAATCCTGGTTAAGGAACCTGCTGGGCTGCAAGTAAGGTTTCCCAGCAAGAGCTTGCCTCTGGCACCCCAGCCCCTGTGCCCCTCCTGCACCCTACCCCATGTAACCCAAACCTTCTACACCCTTTCTCCAACTTCCATACATCTTCCTCAGACACTGCATCCCCTCCTACATCTCTCCACAGGTCACAACCCCATCCCAGACCTTGCACCCCAATCTGCTATCCCTGGTCACAGCCCAAATCCCTGCACCCCCCTGCACTCCTGTCACAGGTTATGACCACCTCCTGGACCCTGCATTCCTTCCTCCTACACCTCTTCCCCAGGCCAGAATCCTCTCCTGGACCCCAGTTCGTTGCCCCAGGTCACAATCCTCTCCTTCACTCAAATTTCCCTCCCAGATCCCACATCCTAATCCCTTACCCCAAGCTCCCTTCTGCACCCAACCTCCATCCCAGAAGCCCATACCTCCTTCATTAATATAATGGAAGAGTGCGACCCTCAACCACTTACCAAATTCTTGGAGTGGCCCTCTGATCAAAAATTATTGCCTACCACTGCTTTAGGTAAAAGAGCTGTATGGGTGGTAAGGGAGGGCCCTATACAGAAAGAATATCAAGGTTTAGACCTGGTCCTCAAATGTATGCTTAAAGGGAGGTTCCACTTAAAAGTATCATGCAAATTATGGGTTTGAGTGACTGGAATGATCATTGTTGTTTTGCAATGGGGAGGATACTAGGAATTCTATTTTAGCTATGCAGAGCTTCTGGTGATGGCTTAGAAATCCACAGGAGAGGTCAAAATGAGGCCTGGATTTTCATTTGCACAGAGGAAACACGCTATACAGAGGTAGTGCTTGAATTTGTATTTACACATGAGATAATCCATCTCTGCATAGATGAGAAATAAGAGGGAGACCAAGGGCAGAGTCCTGTGGCACAACTATAGAAAGTTGGAGGGGAGATGAGGAGAGTCCTTGAAAAAACACTCTGAACAAGTTATTCAAGAGATATGAAGGGAACCAGGAGAGAGCAGAGTTATGGAAGCCAAAGGCAGGATAGGAGGACTAGAAGATTTCCAAATGACTATCACCATTCTGCCTTATCTTGCACTTAAAATTGGTCTCATTCTTTGTTTAATCAATTTTCTCATGTATATCTAATATATATGTGTAATTAAAAAACTATTTAAATTCTGTGTAACTGCTTTACTTCAGGCAACTGAAACTTATATATCTAGCGCATTTTCAAGGATAACCTGCTTTTAATTTAAATTGTTTAATGGGGTTGAGTAGTTAGCAAAATTAAACAACTTTGTCTAAGATCACATGAAATATGTTTTGTTCCACACGTTGATTAAAAATGCCACATAGTGTTTTCCTTTCCTGCTGGGCGATGGTTTAACAGCAGCTGCTTCTGTTCTGTCTTTTTGTGGATTTCATAGACAGACTTAGATAACAAAAGAAAATCCTTCAGTGTGTGCCTCTCTTCTTCACCCAGTGCAGCCAGGAGGAAAGACAGTGATGGTAGGGTGAGAACAATACCGTCAGTGCCTCCAGCATCCCCAGCAAACAATTGCACCAGGCACCTGTGCTCCAAATTTAGAAAACTGACTACTATAATTTCCTTTTAGGTATCTCATAGACTGATGGTAGCCAATTGGCTCCCTTTTGCTTTAGAAGCAGGAGAACTTAAGAAAAACCTAGTTATCTCTTGAGATTTTCCCTCACACATGAAACTCAAACTTTTGTGTATAGTTTTGGATAGGAAGACATGTAATCTGGAAGAATGGATGTCTCGCAGGCTATGTCTAGACTGCAGACTTCTTTCAGAGGAAGCTTTTTCGGAAGAGATCTTACAAAAAAACTTCTTCTGAAAGAGCGTCCACACTGCCAAAGCACATCGAAAAAGCGATCTGCTTTTTCGAAAGATAGCGTCCCACTGAATGGACGCTATCTCGCATTTAAGCTGTGATTACTGTGGATGGAGTGGCCACCAGGACACCTGTGCTTTTTCTTCTTTCCTCTTCTTTTAAAATAACTTCCTCTTCCCCATCTACACATGCCTTTTTCCGAAAGAGCTCTTTCGGAAAAAGGCTTCTTCGTTGAAGAAAAAGGTTTACCAATGTCAGAAAAACTCCTCTGTCCTTTCAATTTTTTTTTTTTCAAAAGAACACGATTGCAGTGTGGACATAAGTGAAGTTTTTTTGGAAAAACAGCCATTTAAAAAAAAAAAACCCTCTGCCATGTAGACATACCCTAAATGTGTACAATAATTGTCTGACATTTCTTTTGATAAGAACACAAGAACGGCCATACTAGGTCAGACCAAAGGTCCATCTAGCCCAGTATCCTATCTGCCGACAGTGAACTATACCAGAGGGAGGGAACACAACAGGTAATCCTCACGTGATCCCTCCCCTGTCACCCAGCTCCAGAGAAACAGAGGCTAGGGATACCATTTCTACCTATCCTGGCTAATAGCCATTGATGGACCTAACCTCCATGAATCTATTTATCTCTTTTTTGAATCCTGTTAAAGTTCTAGCCTTCACCGCATCTTCTGGCAAGCAGTTCCACAGGTTGACTGTACGCTGAGTGAAGAAAAACTTGATATTGTAAGAGCTTTAACCTGTTTGATTATTCCAAGTCACTTCTGATCTGTTATTGATAAACATCGTAATTGGAGATTCCTGGTACTGCCACTTGGAGGAGGGGAGGAGAAAAAATTGCAGAATGAGGATGGGGGGGTTCTCTGAGAAGTTACTAAACTGAAAATCTTTGAGTTAAATATTCTTGGATTTTCCCCGTTGTGCTCTAACTTACCAGGCTTGACAACACAATTTGTCTATAAACAGCCACTCCTTCTCTTCTTTGTTTTGGTTCCAGGTCTGAGTGTGGATCGTCCCTGTGCCAGAGCTGTAAAGGTTGATTGCATGTATCCACTATCTCAGGTTACAGCCAGAAACAATGTTGTGTGGGCACTAACTGAGCAGCGGGTACTTCTCTATCGAGAGGGAGTGAGCAGCTTCTGTCCTGAAGGAGAACAATGGAAGTGTGATATTGTCAGGTAACTGGCAGTATTTAACCAGAATGACAGAAATGGTTGCTTTCATTTCTAGGTATATTATCTTATCGTTATTGAGCCATTCACCTCTTGCTTATAAAGCATTCTGTGTCCAAACTGTAATCCTCGTGTTACTCCATCCCATACAGGGCGTCTTGTTACATCACATGTCAATCAGTGGGCAAAAAAGGCCACCACTTGGAAGGCATTCATTGTGGTGGGTGGGGAATGTTTAACAGAGGTGTACATCAGAGAGAAAAGTGGAATATTAACACAAGCAGCCTTTTTATAGTAAATACTGTTCAATTTGTTCATTAATGGTGCTCCCATTAATTAAATTGCCTATTTTATTTTTTTATTATAGTAAATACTGTTCAATTTGTTCATTTGTGCTATAATGGTGCTCCCATTAATTAAATTGATTAAAAAAATAAAATAGGCAATCTCCATTAATTAATTTATTTATCTCCTAGAACTGGAAGGGACCTTGAAAGGTCATTGAGTCCAGTCACCTGCCTTCACAGCAGGACCAAGTACCATCCCTGACACATTTTTGCCCCAAATCCCTAAATGGCCTCCGCAAGGATTGAACTCACAACCCTGGGTTTAGCAGGCCAATGCTCAAACCACTGAGCTATCTCTCCCCCCTAATCTTCAAATATTTAGTAGTTTATTTTTCAAGAATATAGGTATTTGTTTACAGTTGACTTTCTCAGTCACTTACAAGACTAGAAGTTGACCTCTCTCTGGGATCTCTCAAATCAAGTAAGATTTCCCGTTGGATGTCTATAACTGATGAGTGTGTAGATGAGAAATTAGGCCAATTCTGGCAAGGAATGCTCTCTGGCAGTGGCTGCACATGACATCTCTATCTCCAGTGGGGCCAATGCGGGCCTGGGCACACTCCTTACGTCAGACTGTCTGAGCTTCTTCATGGAGACAACACTTGATCTCAAAGTGTTGGGCACTGTTCTTGATGGTGGTCCTCCAGGTTACCCGATCCTTCACATGCCTCTCCCAGGTGTCAGCGTCAATGCTGGATTTTACCAAGGTGTTCTTAAGGATATCTCTGTAGTGCTTCCTCTGCCCGCCATGAGATCTCGTCCCAGTCTTCAGCTGAGCATAGAAAATCTGTTTAGGCAAACATATCAGGCATCCTGACCATGTGACTAGACCATTGTAGCTGCCTGTGGGTGATTATTGCCCGAGTGCTGCAGGAATCAGCCTCTGCAAGGACACTAATGTTGGTCCGTCTGCCTTGCCATGTGATGCCCAAATTCTCTTCAGGTACCTTTGGTGGAATTTCTCCAGATTTTTAATATGACATTTATAGGGAGTCCAGGTTTCAGCTCCATATAGCAACATTAGAATGACTATGGCATTGTAGTTGTCGATCTTGGTCTGTGTCTTGATGTCACGGTCATTGAAGATTCGCCTCCATTAACATCCATAAGCCGCACTGGAGATAGTGACAGATTTCATCATCAATGTCAGCATTGCTGGACACACAGCTTCTGAGCTAGGGGAAACTGTTGATGTTCTTCAGCATCTGGTCATCTGCCACAATGGTTGGTTTGGATAATGGTATGGCATGTGTTGGCTGAAAGATAACCTTAGTCTTTCATGCATTGAGAGTCAATCTCAACCTGCGGTAGGCCATGCAAAAACATCAACGATTGCTTGGAGATTATCTTCCAATGTGGCACTGACCTGGGTATCATCAGTGTAACTGAAATTCTACCATTGACGTTGTTGTGGTCCTGGAGGCTTTTCTTGCTTTCAGTATTATAGTCATAGGAAGATGCTTAATAAAGTTTAAGTCACTGGATAAGTATGAAGATGTGTCCAAAGACAAGTTTTATTTTACTTATTGGGAGTATCATTGGAAGAACTTCTTTCCACTCTAGTTTCATATTCATTAGAAGATTTAAAGCAATATTTTAATGTTATGTAGTTTAAAATGTCTTGCATTTGCAGTGAAATTCAAGCTTTAGAACCAGTGTGTATAACTCTTGGAGACCAACAAACTTTATGGGCTTTGGACATACGTGGAAATCTGTGGTTCAGAACTGGTGTAGTTTCAAAGAAACCACAAGGAGATGATGACCATTGGTGGCAAGTATGTACTACTTATTCAGCTTTCAGTTAAGTCCATCATTCCATGGTTGTGATGTTTTTTTGCAGGGATCCCAACCTAAGAATATCAAATAATTGCTTGAGGGCGTACAAACGTTATTAATACATGTGTAATGAAACCACCAGGCTGCTCTTAATTTTTTTCCCCCAAAAGCAGTTAAAAACATCCCACTATCAGCCAGAGAGAAAAATAAAACCGTGACAGGACAGTTTCCTTTAGCCAAATTAAGAAAAAAAACATGCAGGGAGGATGCTTTCCCCTTAATCCAACTATTTGCAAAGTACACAGGGTGCTTCCTTCAGCCATAGGGCCTGTAAAAGATAGTGACACAAACAATTCTTACTGGACTTAATCTCTCAGTATAGAATCCCTGATGATGATGTTCACATTCATACTTATGTTCTTGGGTCCCTATCTTCCCTCTCACCCAGTCATCTCTAGAGGAGGAGGATTGTCCACATTTTCATCTATCTTTCTTGATTTGTTTAGTTAAAAAAAATCTTACATTGTGTTTATATGGAATCTTTTATATTGGAACAGTGTACACAACATGGTTTTGAGATGAAAGCTAATTTAATCAAAAAACAAATACTCCTGTAGAACACCTCGGAGACTAACAAATATATTTATATAAATAAAATATAACATTTATATAAATGTATTTGTTAATCTCCACTAACAAATATATTTATATAAATAAAATATAACATATTTATATAAATGTATATGTTAGTCTCTGAGGTGCTCTACAGGACTACTCGTGGAGTTTTTTTTTAAAGTTACATGGCTACCCCTCTGAAACTTCTAATTCAAACAGCTCACAGGAGCCACATGAATAACCTTACTTTGGGGAAGCTAAAAAGATCCATCCCTTTGTACCGGACTTTAGGACAGTTTCAAGGAAGAGGAGAAATGATTTTTGCCTCTCTGACCATGCCCCATATGCAGGGGCTTCAGGTGCTGCAGAGTTCTATAGTACTTTGAAATAAATAAAAATACTAAGAAATGTTGGGCAGGTGTTCGTTTCTGTTTAGTTGGGTTTTTGTTGTTGTTGTTTATTTATATTAGGAAGCTGTTATGTGATTCTGGTTTGTAATCAGAACCACTAAAATGTAAATCCATCAAAATTCAAGAGAAATTAAACTGTTTTTTCCTTAACTCACTCAATAGAGAAACTTAGAACAGTGTTTGTGAGACTTCTGAACACTAGTCTGAAGGCTGATGAGGCATCTGTTTTGTTATAGGCATAGTTTGATTGTATATTTGGTGGGGAAGTGAGTGGGATTGAGGGTTGGTGGGGATGAGGCTAAGTAGGGTAAGAATTCAGGTGCAGGAGAGGGGGTTGATGGGGGAGTCTTGACCCAGAGAAGGAAGTTCTGGGTTTGTGTGGCAGATGGAAGAGGTCTGAATGCAAGGGGCTTGTGTAGGTTGGAGGGGGGTCAGCTCCCATACAGTGACGCCCTCCACCACTGAGGAGTGATAGGGATAGGAATCGGTGGAGGGCTGTAGAGCTGCCTGCAGTTGGGAAGGTTCCTGGGTGTGGGTCTAACATGGCCCCATCTGGTTCAGGGGAAGAGGAAGTCCTGTTTCCTCTTCTCCCCCAATAGCTGAGCCAGCTGCAGAATTCAAATTCCCCCAGGAGTAATTCACTCTGTCACTTACTTGGGTTATACACTGCACAGATGGGGAGCAGTTCAGTTGCCTGACTCGCTTGGATCACTGCTTTTGTGCCCTCTCCTTACACTTCCCATGAAGGGGGAACTGACTCCCCTCCTTGCTCCACTAGGATGCTGAAGGAGAAGGGGGTGAGCACCCAGACCAGGGGCTCTGTGCCTGATGGTCAGTTTCCCCATGTAGACTGTGTGATAGTGAACAGGAGCTGTTTCTTGCCCTCCCCTTATGCAACTTGTGTGGACAAATTTAACAGGCCCAAAGTGCCTTAAATCACTCTCCTTTTGCCGCCTCCCCCCATATACCAACATGGAGGGAGCAGGGCTAAGGGAGAAATGTGGGTGCTCTCCCCGTGCATCACCGCTGATGTATCTAGTTTGAGGGGGCAGTATCACATACCATGTCCTCCCACCCCCAGTCTCTGCCCATGTCTTTTATGGATGGTCTGTAACTCATCTCTAGTTTGATTATCCAAAATATTTTTTCCAGGTAAGCATTACAGATTACGTCGTGTTTGACCAATGCAGCCTCTTCCAGACAATAATCCACGCAACACACACAGTGGCAACAGCAGCCCAGGCTCCAGTAGAGAAGGTGGCAGAGAAACTTCGAATGGCATTTTGGTCACAGCAGCTTCAATGTCAGCCCAGCCTTCTTGGAGTCAACAGTAGCGGGGTCTGGATCTCTTCAGGCAAAAATGAGTTCCATGTAGCAAAGGGAAGTCTAATAGGTTGGTGCATTTGAACACCTACTGATTTTTTTAAAAAATCAAAGAAACCAACTATCACATCCACTCTGTACAATCTCCCCTTTCTCTCACCTACCCAGCAAAATTCAGTCATCACAAATTAAAGAGCAAGTTGCCAAAGCTTCTATTCATTAAACTGGGGGGGGGGGATGCAGACAGTGCTGAGAGATAATGTCTTAACATTTGGTGTGAATAAATGCTGTTTTAAAAGTAGTACTGAAAAATATATTATCTGGCATGTTGGGGCAATGGAAGGAAGCCAGTTAGTCAGATATTCAGGTTAATGAAGGGTTTGGAGTGTAGAAGGGGGTTCCAGGCTAAACGTAAGAGGATGAGATATGAGAGAGGTTCAGGCTGTGGTCTGGGGGTGTAGGATCCAGGGTGGGGCCAGAAATGAGGGGTTCACAGAGTGGGATGAGGATCCAGGCGAGGGCCAAGAGGTTCATTGTACGGGGTCTCTCAGTGTAGGGGTCAGGCTCTAGAAGGGTATTGGGGTGTGGAAGGGGACTCAGGGTAAGAGGCTAGGGTGTGGTAGAAGTTTGAGGGTTCTGGATCTGGACGTCACTCACCTCAGGCAGCTCCTCTCAAGCAGTGACATGTCCCTGCTGCTTTTAGGCCAGGGTTGACAATAATTTTTGGTGGGGGGGCCACTCCAAGATGTTGGAAAGTGGTCAAGGACCACACTTTTCTCTGGAGGTGATGCGGGGTCAAGGATAGAGGTTGGGGTGTTAGGGTGCAGCAGGGTACACAGGATAATGGGCTGGGGATGCAGGAGACAGTGTGATGTCTGAAAGGGAGTTTGGGTGAAGGAGGGAATTGTAACCTGGGTTAGGGGTTTGGGGTGTAGGATCAGGGAGGGAGTATGGATGCGAGAGAGGATTCTGGTTTGGGGGAGGGGTTCTGTGAGGGGGTGCAAAGTCTGGGAGGGAATTGGGACCTGGGAGAAGGGGAAAATGGGGTGCAGACTGCAGAGGGCTTGGGTGGTGGCAGAGTGAGGGTGTGGGAAGGAGTGAGGGTGCGGGCGTCTCCTGGACAGCAGCCTTGCAGCATCCCTAAGGGCAGACTGTGTTCCTTGCCTGCTGCAGCCCCTGGCCGCTTGAAAATGAAAGCTGTTCCCTCCATGTGGCTCTCAGCTCCGACAAGCAGAAGAGGCTTTTGCTTCCTTC